CAGAAGGTCAGCATACACTGGAAGGATGTATACGATCGACAAGTGAGCGGAAGGTGTATAATTTCGACGATCATGCCTGACTGCACCGCCATATGGCTCCACCAGGAACATGCAACAAGTTCTATGATCCTTAGCAAATGCCTTGAATAAGTGATTATATTCGACCTCTCACCACTTTTGCTTTAAGTAACCTTCAGCGGCCTCAATACGACGTTATAACAGTACACTATAACCATTTTAGACCGAACTGAATGGCGCTGTACTTAAATGCCTGGTTTGTCAACTCTTCTCCCACCACCGGCTATCACTAAGTGCCATCTGAATGAGGTATGGTACACCCATATCCACAACCAAACACTGTAGACAGTGTTTCGCGGAGGGAGTAATGTATCGATATGAAAATTGTCGTATGTTATGTCGATAACGTGAATACGATTTTTTATTGCACAGTAACAAAGCGTGAATGTGCTAGAGGACGAAGACCAAATCCTGAGTAATCTTGACTTGCAGAATAATTTATGGAGCCGTTTTGTAAATAAGCTTTGCATCGAGTAAAAATGCCGCGTTGCTTAACTTAGGAGATATATTTGTGTTGCTGCTAGCAGGTCATGTTCTTGATCCTCATACATTCACCAGCCCTGGTTTGTATGCTGTTGTTTTTAGATCTCTCCTAATTCCAACTAAATATCGATAACACGTAAAACCTTTAAGCAACGCCAAACTAACCTTGAGGCTATTCACCCATATTCTGAGGTTGAAAGAGGGTTTGGAATTAGTTTGAGTAGTGGAAAAAAAGATCCGCAGTTGGAATTTAAAGTAAAGAATCCAAGTAAGAGTTTTCATCACTAAGTAGCGTCAATTGAAATGAAAAAAAGTGTAATTCTTTACATAGACGACTAAACATGGCGCCAAAATTGAAAATTTGATATTCTGAATTTTTCGGCCCACCTATTAATTATAGTTTCTCCACCATTAGCAAACATCGTGATTTACTTCGTTTTTTTCAAAACTTTCTCACAACATTATCTTATGATTGACTTTTTTTATTCAGTCAATTTTGGGTCATTGTCTTAATCTCACTAGGTTAATACATGGGCCATCGAGCAGTTGTTCTTCTAGCTAACCTTTATTCTCAGCCCAGTGTCATTTGTCTTCGCTGTCTCCTGGTTGTCAGAAACAGTTAGCAACTGAAAATTGTCCACTTGTATTTAGGTTAAGCAACTTTTGTCTGTGAAACAGGTTTTTGTAATCACATTCAATAGCTTACGGACTTCTTAGAACACAAATTAACGTTATGACATCCCACAAGAAATGTGTTAATGAATTTGCTTTCACATACCATTATTGTCCAGAAGCCTCTCATTGCTGCAGCTACTGGATGCTATCAGAGCTGAAGGATCTCACTACAAATAATTTCAGTGTCAACTGCTTGTAATGCAGCGTAAATCACTGCTAAATTTAGTTACTGTTAGTTGTGCTTTCATTAGTAAACTGACTAAGGGAAAGCAAGTTATATTTTTTCGTGGAGGGTGATCACATTATATTCCACCATCTGTTATGAGTCGATCTGTGACAACCAAGGACGATTAAAAATTTCACCGTTGCTCTATGTCTACGAGCTCTCTGATTGACCTTTACTGACTCCATTTTACAAGACAAACAAAGTAATTAATGATAATGAACATAAAAAAAGAGAGCACACCACTGATTTGAGTCTCGTAAGCTATTTTTGATGAGCACCAAACATATCGGGACAGTTTAGTTAAACAAACAACAAAATTTGGATAGGTGCATCTAACGAAAATCCCTGTCTTCATTTTCTGACAGGTGTTAGTGATAGTTGTTCTCATTTGTTTTTAAACATTAGGTTATTGTATAGAGATTTATGAAAATGTAAGTACAGGAGGTGGAATATTAAATGCGATACTTTATGTTCATTTGTCTGCAAATTTAACCCAAATACACGAAGCTAGGGGGAAACTCGACATTTCCCCCAAATAACCAACGTAAAGGGGAGAAATGGACTTTTTCACTTTACTTACGTTTTTGTCCTCTTTATTTCCCCTCTGTTCCCCTTCGTAAAGGGGATACAATCAGGAATATCGGTTACAGTAACATCATCCCTGAAGTTAAAATGTTTCTTATTAAGCAACCATTTGCTAGGGATGACTAAAACATGCTTCTTTCACTTGTCGTGAACCAGGATGCACTGTCGATGCTGAAAATCAATCACGACTGTTTTTCAGGGATTTTGAACAGTAACAAGCCGTCATGGTTGAGTTGCAGTTTCAATTCGTTGAAACTGATTTTGCGTAGCCAATTTTCGGAAATCCGAAATGGTTTCTTCACAGCACTTATGTACCCATAAGATGTTTGTGAATAATAATAATAATAACAATAATAAACCTGTTTTCAGCCCAATGTGGTAGTATACTCCTGTGTCCAGAAAGTTAGGTTCCACATTTTGGCAATGAATAAATACACTTCAGACGGACATGGGCAGTTCAGGAATGTATACCCGAAAGAGGTCCAGGATTCCGTTGGCCCTCTTTGCAGTTATTACACATCCCTTCATCATGAGGATGCCATAAGTAGAGTTTGACAACGACTTAATTAGTAACACATGATCGAAACGTGCCTGCCCATTGAAATCAGAATTCAGAAGTGAGGAGGTTAGAAGATATATTTGGTTGAATATCGATATATCAAGAAGTGACTGGTGGAAACCGACTAGCGGTCGTACGAGAAGTTGAACACAGCGTATCCACTTGTGATCTGGTGCAGATGCGTGACCGAGCGACTTAAGCTAGACGAGTCCATTAAAACCAATGTGGTCGGCATCAAATGTCAAAGACTTACAGAGATACTGATTCTGGGGATTTATTTATCACCACAGATCACTCACCCCGTATGTGTGTAAAGAAATGAAAAAGCCAAAAAAGGAACGTCAACTCACATACATGCGTTTCGTAAACATGCAAAAGCGTAAAAACGACTTTTAAGGAATGGTTTTTTTGAAAAACTAAAAATATACACATATGAGCAAACATATTCGTAACAAAAAATTTATTTTTTGTGAATAAATATATATATATAGTTTAGCACGTTAAAAATAGTTGTTTCGCTGTCCGACATAATAATACGAAAAATCGAGATGAAACAAGATGTTATGTAGTGTCTTGCGTTTATTAATCGTTTAGGTGTTCCGGAAACAATACTCTTCTTCCAGGACGACTTTTTCCGAGTCTATTGTCAGATACCGCTAAAATGTCATCCTGACTGTTGATTTCTTCGTGCAGTCAGTTGTAAGAATTCGTAGTAAGATCGCCGACCTCTTTTCCAGTGTCGAGATAATGAACTTTTTTCATCACGTCAGTGACGTATACTAAATGGCTGTGTTCTCTGGCTATGGTTTTCGTTATAGTGTGCCGAAGAGGAGGTTTCATTTACATGTCGATTGGTTTGGGGCTCAGAAAACTGCAGGGTTTTCTACAGTTTCGAGAGCACTGACCATACTCGTTACGTTAACAGCATCAATCAAGATTATCTGTCTCTTGTGATCTAGAGGCAGATCGTTTTTTTTGACTGAAAAACCTAGTCGTCAGAAGTTTTGGTACTCTCTAGAATCCAGTCGGCAGATGCAGCCAGCCCGTCTACAGCACCGTTTTGAAACGAGACAAGCACTACCTACACTTGTTGATGAAAAATAGACAAAAAAAAGTTGTCTAAAAAGGCCGTCTTCGAAATTCCTTTGACCAATTACCTCTCTCATTCGCTGAGCACAGTGTACCCAGTCGTGATCTCGTGAGTATGCGTGTTCGAGAACCTTCAGCTAGGTGAGTCAATTAAAACTGACGTGGTCAGCACGAAATGTCGAAGACTTACAGAGTTATGAATTTTGGGGATTTATGTACCGCTACAACTCTGTCTAGCTGTTGCTTCATTGAGAGATGAGCAAGTGGTAACATTTCGGTGGTGGCATCATCTACAATCCGCTAATCAAGAAACCCAGACTATACAGCTTGCTGCGCCAGGCGCAAAATGGACGTAACTACAGGAGGCAGGAGTCGATTCTGGGACAATGCTGCTACACAGCTCTGTAGCTACGGCGTAGCCTACGTATTCTACATTAATTGAACTGTGGTTTTCATTACCAGTGATTGTTAACTAGTACTTTTTCTCAAAATCGGGTCTTAACTTCCTCAACCTTCTGTAAAAGGTAGATCGAGGACAGCCCATCAAGTTTAACACTGTTGACTGTAAACCGTCTGTTATCCCTTTCATTACGTTCTACATTATTATTCTAAAAGTAACAATAATCTGAAGTCAGGCTAAACAGTAATTGAAGTAGTGTGAAGTACAAACAACACATCTGCACGGCGTAAGATCTTTGAAAATGTAGTGTGAAACCTGCGCTTCTTTGTCGCTTGTCTATTTGACATACTGAAACAAGACGTAGATGTCGGTAACATAATGTTGAAAGAAACTAATGATCATATTTATTATTATTATTATTGCTTGTTATTTCGTTCTAAATGGCTTAAAAAGTACACTGTACGGACAACTGCGCAACATAGATTTTGGTCTTTTTACCCAATGTTTCCCCAAACATTGTGGAAAATTTGAACATGACCATTCGTTTGAGGTTTTTCCCAAAAATAGAGAGATTGGGTACATATGCCCATATTATTAAATATTCGAAATAAGCACTCGTAACACACTGTCTTCTTTTTTTCGTAGTTGTCACGTAGTCGCTGTTTACTGTATTTTTGTGAATCATGAAGGATCTACAACAAATGATTAAAAACATATGCGTTTTAGTTGATGATGTACATTTTTCTAACTGTTGACAGATTTACTAGTTATTATTACTGAATCTTTAACTCACTTCACTTGTTTTTATCTCTTACAGATTCTCTGATATACTTTTATATGTATACCCCCTCAACATACATTTCACGTAGCTAGACGCAATCCTACTCGTCTGCAAATATTTTAAGATGTTTGATCGTTTTACAAGTTTGTTAAGCTTGATAATCTTCTTCTTGACCAATTCGGAAGTAAGTTTTTGGATTTGTGCATGGGCTGTTTGCGGAAATGTATTGTACTGTAAAGAGAACAGTAATTTTTTTAGAGTACAAGATGTACATTTTTTAAAACCACTGTGCACTTGATTGAGGAATCTGTCTTCACTGAATTCATACAATGGTTCGTCAGGTTATCTAGTGCTTCTGACAGTTTGGGGAAAAATGCCGAAGGTCTACAGCATCTGGACGAAAGAGTACTCATTTACTGCTCCTTGGGCATCATTAAAGTTTATTATTATTTTCAACTTTGCTGATCATTTTTTCGCAGCTGATTTAAATGTTTTCGATAGGATACTAGTACCCATTTTACACTATTTCTTAGTTTGATAAAGTTAAGTATTTTGCCATTCCAGGTAATTTCGAGGGTACTTGGTTAAAATTAAATGAGTAGTCTGGGAAATACAAATATTAATACCATCATTTAATTTTCGTTCTAGGTTTAGTTAGTTCATCAGAGTCATTTCATAAATGATAGATATAAAATACATCGTCAAAGTCATTCGGTTCTTAGTGCCTTAGAGTTAAACCAGTAGATCTTTGAAGAGGTTGTTAAAAGTCAGTTAGCTAACAGCTAGATGTCCCAACCAAGCACAAATGAGAAAACATCTGAAGGCTATTGTTCGTCATGCATTCATACAAAAGAATATATGCACTTGTTACTTATCTGGCTTCCGATGCCCACCTTCTCAGCAAAATGTTTTCAATCATTTGAATACACCATAACCTCCCGTACCCACTTACTTTTATTTGGGTAATCAGGTAACGTTTCTAGGACCCTTTACTGTTTTGTAACAGCTGTTGATTAAAATGTGCACAGCGATCACCAGGTATTGGATTTGACTCAGTATCCAACGCATGCATGTATTTCACTACTTTTACTTAATTGGTCGGTTAACAACTATCATGACTATACTCAGCATAATGTGATAAAAATACACCAGTTATGTTTAATCTTTTTTCAGTTCATTCAAATTAAATGATCAGGCTTTGTTTCCTGAAAATTCCTTTGTAATTATTCATGTCATGCTGTCGATTTAAGGCATTAGTAATCTGCAACCAATTATGGATTAACATGTTTTGAAATTACTTTATTTGCTTTACTTTAGTGGTTTATCTCATCAATCTGCAGTGTATCAGTCTTTCCTTTTAACCCCTGTCCAAATGTTTTTGTATGCATGAAGTAACTACTGTAGTTGGAATACGTATTTTACAAATATTCTGGTATGTGCCACCGTAACCTTAATTTTTTAAAATACTTTATAGGCTTGCATGAGAAGTCCAGCATCTGGTAAAATCTATGATTTTACGGTCACTGATATTGACGGTAATGAAGTTCAACTGAAAAAGTACCTGTAGGTGTTCTGCTAATTCCCGACTGATTTTATCTATAGAAATAAAGTTTGCATAATCGTGAATGTTGCTACTGAGTGAGGCCTTGCAGGCACTAATTATCCCCAGCTTCAGAAACTATATACCCAATATTCTGAAAATGGCTTCCGAATTTTAGCTTTCCCTTGTAATCAGTTTAGAGGACAGGTAATTTACGGTTGACATAACTGGTCTACATTCAGGAACCCGGAACTGATCAAGAAATAAAACAGCGCGTGTTAGCAAAGTATAATGTAACATTCGATTTGTTCCACAAAATTGATGTTAATGGTGAAAATGCTATTCCGTTGTACAAGTTTCTGAAACAGTCAATATCGTCTTGGTTTTCCAGGTAAGCCCTCAATACTGGTTTAAATTTTGATATCAGTGCGAGAATTTAAATCCCCTTCTTTACGGTACTTTTTTACATGGTTTCCGTTTCGTAAACACTTCTCTCAAGCGATGTAGTAATCAAACCTCATGAAATTCATGATAATCTAAAAACAAGCTTCTGTTCTCACTCCGCTCACGAATTACTGACACAGTACGTAACCGTTTTGAAAAACTGTTAATTATCGAATATTTCATTTCTTTGCTCATACGCCATTTGTTCCCTCGGAATCCTGGTGCTCACATGCACCATTGCTTTGAAATTAGGGTTTCCCAACTCTTCCATGTCCATGCTTTATAACCACTAAACCTGTTTAAGCCTCGGATATTCTCTTGACGTCCTCTCAATTCCGTAAACAACATCCCCGTTGTCTTAACAGTGGCTATGTACGCATGACCATATAAGAGAATTTTCAACCCTCAGTCGTTACCAGGGCGTTTGAAGGTAATTAGCTACATTTTTCTATATCTCTGATACCGATTTCGTGAAATGTCCGCCCGTTCCTTATCATAAAAGCATCCATAATGACCATATTTTTCCCAGTGGATTGATGGTCAGTGTGTGCTCTCTACAGTGAAAGTGGAAAGTAGCTCTACAAGACTTTCAACTGACTGTACCTTCGTAAAACGATGACATTCTGATGGTATATTTGTTTTATAGTGTGAGGTGTATTTTCCTGCCATAATTATTTTTCACTTACGTTCCGTTTAGAATTGTGACGCTACTATAAACATACTACAAAGTATACCAGTGATAATTAGGAGTATTTGAATCATAGTACAAACTAGGAATCCCAGAAATAGCGCAATTTAACCAAAAAGTATTAGATGAGCACAAACGAACGTATTGTATTTGGAATTGAAAATCAAGCAGTCGTCAAGTACAGAGGAATCATTAGTTCATACAAACACCGCAATATCCCCCTAACATTTAACGAATGTATCAGGTAAAAAATGAAGCTTGGTAGTCAGGTTTAGCTTCATTGATACACGAACCTGAGAGAACCAAGTCGGTTCCAAATGTGGACTTGGGTGTGCAGACTGCATATTTGCCCTTCAAGTTTGGGAACGTAGTATTTAAATCCCCAAATCTCTCCACAGTATTTTTGTGGCGTCTTGTAGCCTGTCTCTTTGATTACTACTGATATCAGCTTTCTTTTACTGCTGCGAGATTTATCTCGAAAATTTTATCTCCTTGTGCTAATATAGTATCGTAACTTAAACCGATGTTCCGGGTTCTACCTTGCATCTACTAACTAAGTAATATTTGTAATCGATCAGTAAAGTTATATTTGTTTTTATCTTTTAAGCTAATAAAGTTTATAAAACTTGAATGAAATATATGATTGATGTTCATAGGCCTGTATTAAATGCCTATATCATATAACATGTGTAATTTTGCCATAGAATTCTGATTTTATTTTCTTGTTATTCTAATAAGTTTATGATGTAGGTGAATTAATATTTGACCTTAATTTTTATTGTCTGGTGGTCCCTATTTTTGTTTTCGATTAAAATCTATATAACTATTTTATATCTTACAGAGATATTGAATGGAATTTTGTGAAATTTCTAGTTGACAGAAACGGTACTCCTGTATCTCGTTACATTTCGATAACTCCCCCTAATGTAAGTTTTATTGTATTTATATTTATTGAGGTCATAGAATCAGTAATTTTAGACTTTGACCATTCGTCACAAAATTAACAGACTACATATTATATTTCATAAATAAACATTTCGTAACGTAAATGTATTCGACGTATATTTTACCTTTACACTTATATTATTGTATTACTATATAATATATTTAAGTAGTTCAACAAACAAAAGTGCATAAATACTTTATTTCTTATCAAATGTACTTCGCGGTCAAATCTTAGATCAAACATGATTAACCATTTAGGTTGTATCAACATGACTGTCCAAACTAAGTACCATTCGATTAAAAAGTACCATGGTATTACCATTTTATTTAAATGATTGTTTATAAAGTCTCAAAATGTCCAGATGATTAAAATCAAATATTCACTTTACAGTATTCAAAAGTATTCAGAAACTGTACCTATTATCTTGTATATTCATAAATGAAAAATAAGTCACTTCTGTCTAAGTTTCCTGGTTCCAAATATATCATTTCAATAAGGTTTCAGAGAATACTAACGCGGACGGTCCTCATAGGATTTAACATTTTCGTCAACTTTTCGGCAAAATTATTTGTAGAGCTGACCGATACACGGATAACAATCAGCGTAAATGGATGTCAGTCTTGTAGATATTTGGTAATCCATATAATAATCAATGAGAATACTCAGAACCCATAGGTTATAATGGAATAAATTCTTCCTTACTAGGGACATTCAAGTTGAGCTATTTGAAAAGATCCAAATTTACTCTTCCTTCTCATTGATCTATTCCATCAGAGTCCACATCAGTCATAGATTTACTATTATTGCTTTTAATAGAATGCATTTTATTTTTGTGATCAAACCGCACCTAATACCTTGTCAGGCCTAAATAGGATAAAATCGGAGTTAATTCGTAATTCCTTTAATGATACAAAACTTTATTTAATTATTTTTTAAAATCATTTTCTGACAAATCAAACGTTTTCCTCATTATGTGCCCTGAAGTGACTACATTAGGGAAATTAAACAATATAGTCAATGAATATCATTCGGGCGTATAAATGTTAACTTACACTGTTTTTTTTACAAGACTTAAGTAATTCAAGTGCGAACAATTCTTAGAACAGTTTATGCCTAGCACTTAAATACTTGACACTATTTTTAAATATTTCCTTTATTTATTTATTTATTTGAACACATTAATATTGGTACAAGGAGGCTACAGATATATGCGCCACACAACAACAATGAGAATGGGAATAGAAAAAGAATGTAACGTGCGTATAACAGAGGAGGAAAAAGAACTATAACGACCACAGATTAGTGTGTGAAAGTGTTGTGATAATAAAAATGATAATGGGGGAGACGAAACGGTACAACCGAGAATGGGGATGGCTCACCCTATCTCTCAAAATGCTCTCACACACGGTCACGCGTATACAGCCTCTGCCAAGGCAGTCCTACTCCCTGCCTTCTCGTGGCGTTACTGTTGTTTACAAAATTGAGAGGACGAAAAGTGAATGTCCGGGGCTTTCACAGGCATATTCATTAATTCTACAATCGATTTCCAGCTCTGTACGCAACTTAGAAATAATTGCGCACTCTTTTATAAGTTATAACAACTGGCGACGGGTTAAAAAAATCGAACAAAATTCAGCCTGCGATTAGTCAAAAATCAAATAATTATTTCCTGCAATCAGCATTCAAAATTGTCGTGGCTGTCCTTGAACGACATTGGTCATTAGTCGTACAGTAAAAAAGAAATATGGCCCTAACTTCCGATCGATTACAGTTGCTAATCCAGCGACAAGAGCAGCGTTTTATGAAGAGTCAATTGGAATTCATTGACAAATTACATTCAAAGCTGCTGAAATCGATTGCAGAATTAATGAATATGCCTGTGAAAGCCTCAATGAATACGTGACAAACAATAATTTCAACAAAGAAGTAGTAGTCATACATCAGCCCAGTAGTCCAGTACTGTCTGTTTCAAAGACATGCCTTATAAACGGTCCAAATCCTATTATCCCCGAAAAAGGACGTGCAAACAGTGGATTATCCTGTTCACAGAAAGACAATGTCTTGCTAAATGCTCATAAAATTGCTGCAGTATCCGCCCACGGAGAAACGGGAAACAAATCGAGCAGTATAGTGAATACAATTGCGCCAAATGAAACTAGTCACTATGTGAAAAAATTTTCTAATGAATCTATTGATCAGGATGCCCTGATTGTTCTGCCAGATTTCGATTGTTTTGATGATTCACATGTTCCTGTTGAAACCTCTTATAAAAATGGGAGAAGAATGTTGGGTGCATTAAATGATAATCAAGAATCCAATACGATTTTCATAGATACTGATTGTGATTCATTATCTACTAATGAGGTTCCGAATAAATTCAAGGAAACTGTTTCAGAAGAATCAGACGCTGGTGACCTCAAATCAATTGTCGTCGAATCTCATGATCCAGTCAGTTCTAATGGCTTCTCTGTTAAATGTGACAAACATGTTTTATATAATGTCACATTAATAGTAACTTGGGTATATGAAGATCCAACAGTCTTTCGTTGGGGGAGGATGAATTCGAGAAATTTAGAATCCAGATTTATCAAAAAGGGGAGGTGTTATATCCACTGGTGAATTATGAATGATAACTTTTGAGGACTATTAATGGACCAATGTAATATGTATATTTCCTATTGTATAACTGTTGTATCATTACCTTTATTTTGACCTTTGAACTATTATTATACGATTTTTGAGTTATCATCGGTCTATTGATTACTTTCCCCCTATTCACAGCCACATTTGGCCAAATATTGTACGAATGTTATTTTCTATTTTATGGTACGATATGGTCTGTTTGGTTGGTATATAAACCCAATGTGTTTGTGAATAATGATTCATATTGCAGAGGCTGTTATTGGTGTTCTGGACTTAACTGGGTGGGCTAGGCAGAAAGCAGGACCGAGTAGTACTCAAGACTGCTCATACGGCTTTTGTGTATTATTGATCCGATCAGTAAATTCACCGCTCTCTAATTGGCGGCCTTACTACGTTCATATAACAAATAGGGCACACGTACGCACGCACACGATATAATAGGACCAAATGGCGTATGAACCGATTGTTGATCACCAGCTACTATGGGACTGTATCTCCTTACGATGCCCTTCTTCTTTGTGGATTAGACCTTCAGGTCAAAGATTCCGGGTGTTGCCCTCTAGGAAAACCACTTGCTTCGGTCTGGGTAGCCAGACAGTACCATAGCCTTCACATAATTAAAATGAAATGACAATGATTACTGGATATACTAAATATTTCGTAGTTCCTCAGTAATCTACAACTGAACCCTTAACAGAAACGCTATACGTATGGAAAGAAGTTTTGTTTCCAAGGTCAATGTAGGCACAGAAAATAAGGATATTTTCTAGGTTCACGTGTGACCTTCGTATTCTACATGCCTCTAGAGACGTTATAAATTCAATAATCAAATTTAAAATCATCCAATCAGAATACTATGTAATCTCTTGTTTTTCTAGAAGATTGTAAAAAGTTTCTATCAAACTCTAATTAGATACTTGCATAGTTGGAAGCGTGAGTCAATTGAAGCTAAACCACCATGGAAAACCTGGAAGCACTGGACGGCCGTTTCGTCCTGTTATGGGACTCTTCAGCAGTCCGTACCCTGGACCTACCAGTCTCGAGTCGTCCAGTGCTTTCAGGTTTTTCATGGTGGTCTAGCTTCAATTAACCCACACTTTCAACTATGCAAATATTAAATCTCCACAAAACCCCTTCTAATTAGATACAACAATCTCAGCCTTTTTCTAATTTTGAAGACTTTCCAGATGCATTCTCTTGAGTTTCCAATACAAAGTTTTAATCAATCACCTTTTCTTAAACTAAATTTGTTAACTTTTATGTTAAATGTATTGAGTTGTATTACTTTCAGTAATTGTTTCGTTTTAATTGATTTCATTCTATTTTCTTTTATACAGAGTATGGAAGCTGAAATTCGAAAGTTACTTGGTCTTTCTAATGAATTATAAAACTTGATTTAATTACCTGTTTGTCTGTTTGCTTTCCTTTTGTTTTTAACGATCTTTCATCCAAAAGTTAATATGATCAGTGATATACACCATAATGATAAATCAGTGATCAAATAATGATGAATATGTTTGCAAATCTTATTTATGATTAAACATATTCTGATGTATTCATTAAGACTCTGGTATATGGTCTTGATGAGATCTTGAATTATTTTTTATGTGTGTATAGAACTGCTTCTTTAATCTTTTATTTATATATCTATGGATGCTTATAATAGAAACTTGAATAGACTGCACTTCTTCAAACTGTTCTTTTCTTTGATATAAAAGTGGGTTGCAAAGTCGACTATTCTGTGATTGTTTTCCATGATACCTAATAGATACGAAGATTACAATTATTCGAAAGTCTGTACTACATTAAGTTAGTATAAAAGTATGTGTGTATATTATCCCTTCTTTCTTCATTGTATACATTGTCTAGATTTGTACATATTTTACTAAGCTTATTTAGAAATATACTCACTTATTGGTCTGAATGATGGGAGGAAAGAAAATTTCATGAATGATACACACCTAACTTTTTAATCAATTACTAAAGTACGTAACCTGTTATGTTATGATTTAATCTAGAAGTTCATTTTCTCCATCTCTCAACATACATCCAATGAATATTTTCTGTGTTAATAATCTGGATTTTCAAGCAGTAACACTCGTTTACAATCAATACAATGCATACAGTGGTTTGTCCGTCATAATATGTTCGATTCTAAGGGCACGTAGTAAATTGCTTGAAGTTTTGTCTAAAACAATTACTGAGTGGTTATTCATGAAATTTCTCATATTAGGCCATGTACCATCTAATCACTTGTGGATTACTCTTCATCCTAATTAACCGGTGTTATTTGAAAAAAGTATCATAAATTTGAGATCTAAGTGGATAATCAAGAAACTTTTTTGTATTCACAAAACATCAAAATTCGTCTGAAAATTTAAATAAGAATGTAACATTGTAAAAGAAATTATTACAGTTTATCATTAGCCTAGGTTTGTATTACTTCACCGTCAGGATCAATTAGAAATGGTATCATAACCTAACACATGAGTACGCAAATTCAAGCCATACAGTGTTTGTCGTTCACTTAAATTGAAAGTAAATTAGTATCAAAGCATTTTAAAATAATACGGAAAAGTAACACAGCATAATTTCAGTAACTAAGTTTAGGAATGACAACATTTGTGCGTAACACTTAACATCTTTCAAAACAGCTTACCTAGAGTATTCAACGAGTGATTCGCTGCACAAAATTCGACCCTATTTACCGTCAACATATCACTACACAGTTATAGATATGAATAAATTAACTCGGTAAGTCATTTGAAGGCTCAGTGTTAATTTTACAACATCAGAAAAATGAAAAAGTATCGTAGTCGTGTTCCACAGCTTAAAGTCTATATGAGTATATTATTCATGGAACTGTTTCATCATTGATCAATTTATTTATTTATTTAGTTCGAACTGAAAAAGTCGCAGACTAAAAAAGCTATTTGTAACTAACAGAACTAGTAATTTCACATTACTGATAGACTTTATTTGAGCAACCACTGGGAATCAGAAAGCACTATATATATACATCGTCAAAGTACAGGACACCTCAGCAACAGTGTATATCCACGACCATACATGGCATTAAACCGAAGGCCTTCAGACTTTGCGATGAGTGCTTAAATCCTCGTGGGGAGACTCAGTATGCGATAATAAGCCTCAACTATATTTTTAAAAGGTCATCCACCTCTAATGAGTAACTAAAATAATACGAGGTCCAGAATAAGACGTATCAGTTAAGATGTGTTTGGCTGTTTAGTAATATATAGGTTGCCTGAAACAACAGACGTAGAGTTAAGCTCATGTGGAAAGATCAAAAATAAGGAGTTTTACTTCAATCAAAGTAACCTCAATGAGTATTGTGAGAAGTCTGAGAAAATATTGTTTTCTTACTTACGATACTAACATTTGTATTGGGAAAGGTATAACATGGCAATCACTAATTTTTTTTCAGATTGTCTATTCTAATTTTAAAGAGAGATATGTGTAGTTGTTGTCTTATAATATTTGTAATGATTACTATTAGGTTCACCGGAAAATTGGATCTGGAGGTGGAAGCGTGGTGTATACTACTTATATGTAACACCAGTAGGAAGTAGAAAGCCTGTCATCAGAAGATCAAGTAAAAGATAATTGATCGGAAAGTAAAAAGGAATTGTGAGCTTGAAGAATCATATAAAAATGTGAACAATAAATGGTGAAAATTTGCAAATGAAATGTTCAGTGTATTGTTCTTATATTTTACCAAGATATTCTGTAATTTTTTATTGAACAATTAATTTGCTGTCCCCGTCTCATTCACAACATGAGGACCTGTCGTAGCTTTTCGGTGTACAGATGCAAAAATAAATGAATCCTCAGTTAGCTTAAGTCACAAACTTATGTCCAACATTTATTATACACAACATTTGACACCAGACTAGTATCGAACTGTCCAGTTTTATATGGCCAAAGGAATAAACAGTTATAGGTATCAAATTTATTCAGACCTGTTTTTTGATTGATCACATAATATTGGTATTGTTCTGTTGTACTATTTAAACTTAAAACACTTTTGATTTGGTTACTTATTCTCTGAAGAAGTGGCTTACGCTGAGTCACGAGACGTCAGAAAATATAATTTTTCTACTGATCGGGATATAACAAATATGTTATTTCTTAGAAATATTGCTCGCATCTGCTGGCATCACCGGGTAAGTAATAGTGGGGTCAGACACAAGGTATTAGGGAATAATGGTAAATCAGTTGACGAGGTCATGAATCTTCATCGACTGAAATGGTTGGACCACGTGTTACGTATGCCTGGACACAGATTACCACGACGCGCTATGCTAACTAGTATTGGAAATGGTTGGAAAAGAGTCAGGGGCGGCCAAACCGAAACGTAGCCTAAAAATGCCCTGGTACGGCCGAGAGTAGGGAGAGTCCGCTCTCCCTCTTCAAATGCTCTCAACATGGCCACGCGAATATACAGCCTCTGCCAGGGAAGTCCTACTCACTGCATTCTCGTAGCACTACTATTGTTTAAGAAATTGAGAGGACAAAAAGCGAATGTCTGGCGCTTTAACCGGGTTAGGGGATACGGAAAGTTCACCTAGGTGAGTTGGAAAACCCTGATTCCAAAACAATGGTGCACATGGGCTCCAGTATCCAGAGGAAATAAATGGCGTAAGAAAATATTGTTGGTCACCGACTACCATGGGACTACATCTCCTCACGATGCTCCACTACCTTGTGGATCGGATCTTTAATTCAAAGGCTTGGTGTGTGGCTCCCTAAGAAAACCACCTGCTTCAGTCTGGGCACCTGGGTAGCATCACATCCCTCACACAAATCAAATGAGATTTGTGAGGTGCATATGTATCTGGTGCTTCCTTGTACCAATATTTATGTGTCTAAATAAATAATAATAGTGATAAATAAACCGGAACGTTGCACCAGAGCATGAAGTCACTAACTTCTAGTCTGAGCCATGTTGGCAGATGCAGGCTACTTGGTTGGGATCCGCGTGACTATCGTAACCAATGATTGGAGACTCTATGTGACATAGCTCAAAATCGATCAAAATGACGTAGGTGTATACACTGCTTATCTTCCCTTACAAACTTGAGATTAAAATTGCTTCATATCTGTCTTCATTCCTATACTATACCCTTATATACAACCTATCTTTTATATACTGCCACCAACAAATTAACTACTTCTATGAATTCAGTATTCATCTAGTTGTACTAACGAGGTATGGCAACTTGGACCGGTGCATATATGTGCCTGGTCCTATGTTGTAGCTGATTGACTGACTATTTCTTTAGAATAAACAGTTAGTTTACAAACGACCAGTGGAGCACGATAATTTTGCAAGTAAATATTAGTTATAAGTAACGAAGTTCAAATATACAAAACTTAAAACGATTGTATTCAAACTAACATCATAATATGAATATCTTTTCTTAAATATTTATTTGTTTAACGTAACATTGAATAACTTGTGTAAGCAAAGATTGATAGTGGCTAGCAGTGGATTCGAACCCAGGACCCATATGTTTCGCGCGCGAGCACTTAACCACCAGACCACTGAGCCGGTATCTAACGCTATCAATGTCTCACTTCAACTTCAATGTCTAACCTCAACTATTAAAATGACTATAATATCCACAAAACCCTTTCTTATAATAATCAACATATTATTCATGAATTAGAAACACTATGTAGAACAATTGAATTCAAGAGAATCATTTGAAGTTTGAAGAGAAATTAGTTCCATTTGATAAATTAAAATAATACAATGGGGAAAAACAAAGTTTGTTAGAATTAAATGATAACCTGTAATGCATTATTTAGATATCACTAACTATTTCACATAGAGATTAAGAAAACGTTCCAATATCTCAGTTTCATTCAATAATTAAAATAGTTCTGAAAAAAAGAACTATCAATGAAAAAGTCAGCTGATTAGTAGAACAGTATAAAATCATTATTGTTTTTTCGCAATCATTACAAGCAAAAATGAATAGTGGCTAGCAGTGGAATCCAGTTTAACGCGCGTTTCGTCCTATTTGGGACTCGTCAGCTAGATGTACCTGCATCTCAGGGTTGATGTTCACTCTGGGACTCGAACGCAGTACTGTTCGCTTCAAACGCCAATGCGTTATTCACTCAGCTACTGAGCCCTGATAGCCACTTGCTTGTGCAATGGGGTGAAGTTTAAATTCACTAAGATCAGTCAGAAATATTGTGGTTACTAACAATATGCAGCGAAAAGAATGTACATTGTTTAGATATCTGATACGTCTGTAGGTTGAACGTTATATTCAGATCCTAAGCTATTCTGATAACACCAGGCTAGAACTACTCAGCGACTTGAACACCAGGGAGAAAACTCGAGTATGAGAGAAAA